GGGTCGCCTTGTAGCGACTATGGAAGAGAGGGTCTTCATCCTCTTTCCATCCCACCGGTACGTAATGTTGATTGTCATGAGGCGGGCTTTCCCGCAAGGTGATTGGCTGGTTCCAATCCTGCTCATCTTCGTCATACCGGTAATAGTGGTCTTCAGTGAGGGGATTATTCCAACCCCCTTCTGGTTCAAGGAGTCTCCCTTGAATCTCATTTTCCTCGTCAGGTTCAGCAGTGCGACGTCGGCGCGTCGCCATATTTGCGATGATATTTCTAGGAGCTCCTGATTGAGGTCCTTGAGTTTGCTGATGTTGATGTCGTCACTCTTCACGGTTGTCTGCGTAGAAGGCGAGACGCGGCGCGGCGCTGAGCTTGTTCTGCTCGAATCCATGTCCTGCTGTTTAGTCAGGAGTGCGGCGCATAGCGCGGCTTCAGAGATGATTCCTCGCTGTCGGAGTAGCGCTTTACAGGGCTTCCACTCTGGCCCGAGTCCTTGAAGGACTATGTTGACGAAGATCTCTTCCGAGATTGCGCTCCCATGCTTCGTGATCTGGTCACGGATGTTGCGACAGCGGTTAATATAAGAATTCGCTTTCTCCCCGTGCCCCATCTTTGTCTCCATGAGTTGCTGCAGGAGCCTGCTGGCTGTAACCGAGTCCTTCGGTTGATAAACCTCAACGAGGTGCGTCCAGGCTTCCAAGGCTGGAGCGGCGCTCTCTTTGTAGGAGCGGATGCTTAGTTGTTCTGCAGGCGTCATGTTGCGTAGCAGCACGCTATACGCCATGAGGGACTCGCTGTAGTACTGAGCCCTGGCGTCGTCGGTGTCGTCCACCGGTTTAGAGTAGGAGCCGTCGAAGTAATGGTAGATCTGCGCTGTCTGTAGGAGGAGCTCAAGCTCAAAACTCCATGTATAGAAATCCTTGCCGTCGAAGGCGGCGGTAGTCTTGCTTTTTGAAACGCTGAGGAAGCGTGCTTGCGCAGAGTTAATGACTTCATCACTTGGACGGGGGGCAGTTGTTGTTGATTTGTCTGTGTCGAGGGAGAAGGTGTGCGCGGCGGTATCACGGCTTTTCGTTGCCGGTTGTCCAGGTTGAGCTGGATGGGAAGAGGTTCCCGCATCGCCTTTGCGCAAATCTTGGAGTTCTTTCTCCATAGTTGAAAGTCGAGCGAATAACTGCTCGAGTGCGGCAGTGCCGATCGTGGTTGTCGCCTCATTTGTCGCAGCCGGGTTGGTTTGTCCTTCAGCCGTCAGATTTGTTTGGCCTCCGGATCCTCCGGCCATCTTGGTCTTGGAGCGTGTGCCGCTCGCCAGATCTTGGTTCGGCGAATTTCAAGGAATTGCTGATGCGAAGAATCCCTGAGTAGCTCTCATACCATGTTACAATCCCAAGTGGGACTTAGCGAAGGATCGCTCAGGGTTGATCGCAGAGTAGTGTCGCAGCGGAAGTTTGAATCTCAGGTCAGAGTGAATGTAAATGACTGAGTTGATAAAAGCATGCGTACATCGGGTTTATATAAGAATACAAGGGAATACGAAAAGACCTAGACTAGCCATGTACTCTAACGGGTACATTCCCTTATTGCAGCGAAATTCAAACCGTGCGGCGCGGGAACCCGTTTCAAACCTGTTCCCGCTCTTTTCACTTCAAATGTTTCTGCCTGCATCGGTCTTGGTCAGACGGTTGCTGCGTCGTTTCGACTCTTCTGACTCCTCGACTTCGTACTCGGTAGAGTCGGCTCCTGCAGCATACAGGAATGCATACTCATGTAATTTCATATCGTAACAAGGGGTACATTCCCTTATCGCAGCGAGTTCAAATCGTGCGGCGCGGAAACCCGTTCAAAACCTGTTCCCGCTCTTTTCACTTCAAATGTTTCTGCCTGCATCGGTCTTGGTCAGACGGTTGCTGCGTCGCTTCGACTCTTCTGACTCCTCGACTTCGTACTCGGTAGAGTCGGCTCCTGCAGCATACAGGAATGCCTTTCTCATGTAATTTCATATCGTAACAGCATCACTTACGCCTTTTCGTCTTCAGCCTCGGTAGTGCGTGCTTCGATTGCTACAGTAAGGAGTGCACAGTAATGCTTCATCCTTTACTATTTGTAACAACAGGTACCCTGAAACTTCAGGATGGCCATATAGTTTTGCCCTGAAAAATCAGGGCATTTCTAAAACCTTTTCAAATGTTGCTCTGAGGCATCAGGATGCCCTAAATCCTAGCACAGGCCCTGATGAGCATGGTTGCTACATTTGAATTCAAAATTTCCCGTTTGCGTAGGGCACTTCTTTTTTTGAACTGAGACAGTCTGCATGACCTGAGTATAGGGGGTATATGAGGTGACCTTCGGTAATGGGTGCAGGTTGTTTCCTATCCGCCACCCCCAACCCTTGCGCCAGCTCCCCATATGCGCAGGTGTTGCGCGAATCTCTCAGCAAGAGTCAACTGTCGTTGACCCTGGTTTGACCCGCTCTCACCCACTCCTGGCTGGCTATCGAACATCGCCCTGGAATTTGCGTGAGAAATTTCGCTTTCCCCCGAAGCTCGCGCCAGTGCGATGCATTTCACCGACATTTGACTGTCACACCGACTGTTGACGCCGTTGTACAGTTCACCGACTTTTACCTCCCACCAACAAGATTCACGGGATATGTACAGTTGTCTAAAAAAGTGGATCTGTACATGTAGGCGATGTACAGTCGATGCCCATTATTCTTATGCTGCATTTTGGTGCGCCTGTGTAGTGAAGCGGTCACAGCATTTCGCCTGCGTTCGCCGACTTCTCCACGGATCAATCGGATTGCATGAATCGTGAAGTTGCAATGTCGAAATTCTAGAAATTTGTGTACATTCCTTGGTCCGTCTGGGTACCTTGTGCAGCTGTAGATGTCGTTTTCTGCGTGTTCGGAAACAAAGAGTTTACAGGCGATGTTCTGCTGCCCGTGTTTGAATGCCCGTAGGACATATTTTAAACAATACAAAAAATCTACCCAAATGCACTTGATAAGGTTGAGCATCAATTGTACTACAATCCAACACCTGCACCAGCACCTGGCCCTGGGAAAACCACCTGACTGATGTATGTTTGGAAAACAAGTGTTCGAGCATCGAAAGCCTTCTGGCCGGATAACAGTGGATTCGAAGGCTTTCGATGGAAGCGAGACTAGAAACGAACTGTTATGTCAAATATTAGGGCGGAGTTCGTTTAACCCATGAATCATCGTTCAGACCGATGAGTAACGGTTCCATTTGGTGATGCTATAAAAAAAACTGCTTTACGTTGCACCTCACTCAACCGCTTTTCCTGAAGAGAGAGAGAATTTTCGTGGCCTGGGAGGGAAGGAAACTCTTGTTTGTGGCTCAATCGCGTTTGCCGTTTGCGCTCCAGTGCACAGTGCGAATACACCACCTGGCGCCAACACTTTTTTTCCTTCAAGCATTTTTTCTTGCGGTGAGCAGGTCTATCAAAATATACAAACATCGCTTCCCGCTTGCAAAATGCTGCTGCTTGTGTTGTGAATACACCCTGTTTCTCGCTATTGTGAATTCCGGTATACCGAACCCTCTGGCTCAACGCGCCAAATTACGCGCTATAGTCAACTTTTGCACCAGTTCGGTTTGACGAGGTCAGCTACCTTTGAAGACGGTCAGCTGAACTTTTAATATGGCTCGGTAGGGTACCCAGGTTAACGAAATTTCGGATCACCCGCCTCCTAGAGACGGTTATTGTAAACTTTTCGAATAAGTCCAACGAACAGTTCCACTGTTCAGTGTGTTTCCGCAGTTCAGTGTAGCGAGAAACAGGGTGTACGAGGCGCCATTACCAGCCTAGTTCTCTGCTAGCAGAGGCGTATCCGACAAACGAAGGCACGTGACGATCGACAGTCATCGGCATCATGGATAGGAGCTCGATGGAGATCTGTACTGTACCCCCTGCCACCGCCATTCGCGTCGCATGGCATTTCCCGAATACAGCATTCGCCTTGCTCGCACAGTGGGAGGGAGAGATGGTCGGTGAGGAAGGGAGGGTGAGAAAGAGCAGGGGAAACGGGGAGCTACTTGCGCGAAGGATGGAGGTGGGGGAAGGGGGAAGGGGGAAGGGGGAAGGGGGACCGGGGACCGGGGGGGGAGGAGATCAAGGATCGAAGCGCAGGGCCATTGGCGGCGACTGTATGTCGGTTCCTAGGTCACACTCGAATTCTGCTCCATGTTGGTCACTTCCACTTGGTTTCTGCGGCGGACTATGACCGACATAATCCCAGTGAATCATGGCGATATGGCCTCCCTTCAGGGGGAAGCTCCGCCTCGTATCAGCCAGCGATCAGTTCTCACGCCTGTTAGTAACAGACGATCAGTGCTCGCGCCGATACGTGGCCGGAGCTCCGCCACGCCACGTATCATCGCGCCGCCTGCCACATGCGATCACTGCGCGCGCCTATCATGCGCCGATCGGCGATCATGAACCCGTGCCGCACTTACGATGAGAGCTTAAAGCCGCGGTGCAACTTCTTAGAAACAGTAGCAGGACAAAACTCGCATGTGAGTAACTGGACTTCTATTGGTCGAAAACACTCGAGTTTCACAACAGGACAAACCTCTCGCTGTGAACTGCCTGGGTCAACCTCTTCCAAGCTATAATACTTTGAAGTTGAAGCTGATAGTTGCACCGCGGCTTTAAATAGTCCCCTGTCGCGAGGACGAATCACTCGCTACTCCTTCCGTCTGCAGCTTCTCCTCATCCTGCCGCTTACAGTTGAGACGATAAGTAACAAGGAATTCCCTGTTAGTGCCATTAGCAACAAGTACCAAGGAATTCTCCGCCAAGAGATTCTCCGCGCACCCGCTCTATCGAGGGAAATTCTCCGCTCACCCGCTCTGTCGATAAAAATTCCGTAGGCTAGTAGCGCGCCGCCTTTCCGCGCAGCGCGCTGAGTCACCTGTTTCCGCCGCTAGCCATCGCTCCCCCGAGCCGTCAACAACGCCTTCTCCGCCGCCCGTCGGCGTCATGTCGCGCCGGGGCTTCCCGCCAGTTGCGCCGTCATCGGCGGTTCTGGTTGTTCTTCTCCTTATCGCAGCGGCGGCTGGCGGCGTACGCGGATTGCGCGGGAATGCGGCGCAACCCCGCAAGCTGGCTGTTGGCGGAAGCGGAGACTCTCCGCGGAGGAGAGCGGCGGAGCTAGTAAAAGAATCCTCCCATGCTTCCGTAATGGGGGGAGGGCATATTCCGCCGCTACAGCTGATTCTGGCGGAAGAAGGGCGCGCGGAGGGCGCAGTGTGCTTGGACGGATCGGCCCCTGGGTTCTACTATCGGAAGGGCTACGGCTCGGGAAGCGACAACTGGGTGCTGTTCTTCGAGGTGTGACTCTAACGAACTTCGTTGTTCAATGAACGATTCTTCACCTTCCACTTTTCCTTCAGTTGTAACCGCACTCCTACCCTCCGCCTCCTACTCTCCTCCGAGGAGAGTCCTTTGTTTGGCGTCTATCCCCTCTGCTGTTCATTCTTCCCCTCCCTTTGCTTACCTTCCATTCCCCGTCCTTTCCCTTCTCCCTTCCCCCTCCCCCTTTTCGCATTGCAGGGCGGCGCGTGGTGCGCGTCCCCGCACGCGTGCGAGTACAGGGCGCGCATGCACCTGGGGTCGACGAAGCACGCGCGGTCAGTGGGGGAGATGCTGGATAGGCAGAACGGCAGCATGCAGGGCATGCTCAGCGGCAACCGCACCGTCAACCCTGGTGAGGATCCGTAGCTGCAGCACTGCACCGCACCGCACAGCACCGCACTGCACCGCACACTTGATGCGCAGAACGGCAGCATGCAGGGCATGCTCAGCTCCAACCGCACCGGCAGCTCTTTTCGCCTGCTTTGCTGACACCGCCTTGCATCCACCCCTTCCCCCTGCCCCCTGTCCCCTGTCCCCTTTCCCCCCTGCCCCCACCAGATTTCTACAACTGGAACGCCGTCTATTTCATCTACTGCGATGGCGGCTCCTTCTCAGGCCACCAGGACCAACCCGTTCGCTTCAATGTCAGTCACCTGCCCCTGCAAGGCCGCTCTGCTTCTCCACCTCTCCACCCCTGTTCCTCTCGCCTCTCCATCTCCTCCGCCCCCTCCGCCGCTCTGCCTCTCTGCCATTTTTCCTTTTCGCTGCCGCCTCTCTACCTCTGTGCTCATTTTCGTACATTTCCTCCCGTCCCCCGTCCACCTCCCGCCAACGCAACCAAGTCATTCCCTTGCAGCCTTCCCCACTTCCCCAACCATAGCTATGCTTAAGTAGCCTCAACTCAATCAGAGTTCTCTTACCTCCTATTTCCGCCGTCCCCACTTCCGCCTCCCCCTGGCCCCCTTTCCCTTCCCCCAGGGCATTCCGCTGTACATGCGGGGAAGGAAAGTGGCGGACCTGATGGTGAAGCACCTCATGGAGAAGAAGGGACTTGGCCACGCGGAGAAGGTGAGGGGGGGAGAGGGCAGGGTGCGAGTGGGGAGGGTGAGAGTGGGGAGGGTGAGAGTGGGGGGAGTGAGAGTGGGGGGAGTGAGAGTGGGGGGAGTGGTCAGAGGAAGGCGAGTGGCGGACCTGCTGGTGAAGCACCTGATGGAGAAGAAGGGGCTTGGCCACGCGGAGAAGGTGAGAAGAGGGGAGTATGAGAGGTGGGAGGAGGGTGAGAGGGGGGATGAGGGGAAGATGAGCAGGCGGGTTCCATCTTTTCTCACCTCAGGCGGCTGGCTGTAGCGCGCTGTTCACCCGGCTGTAGCGTGCTGTTCACTAGGCTTGGTACTAAGTAGTGCCTGTGATTCTCTTCCACCTTTCATCTGGGCAGGTGGTTGTGTCCGGGAGTTCAGCGGGGGGAGTGGCTCTGCTGCTGCACTGCGATCGAGTGAGGGACACAATCACAGCCGCCTCTCCCTCCATGCACGTCCGCTGCCTTGCTGATGCCTCCATGTTCCTCGACATGTAAGGCCCCTCTTCACCCCTCTCCACCCCTCTTCACTCCTCTTCACTACTTCATCCCTCTCTTCACTCCTCGTCACTCCTTTTCGCTCATCCTCACTCCTCTACAACTGATTTGCATGCGTGGTGTTCCTCTGTCCCTCTCTCTGTCCCTCCCTCCCTCTCACTCCCTCCCTCTCCCTCCCTCCGTTTCCCTCCCTCCCTCTCCCTCCCTCCCTCTCCCTCAATTTGTTTCCTCTCCCTCCCTCTCCCTCCCCCTCTCTCCCTCCCTCCGTCTCTTACCATGTGCAGCCCCGACAGCGACAACAACAGGAGGATCGCAGCATTCTTCTCTCAAGTGCAGACCATGCATGTGAGTCAGCAAGTCAGACCATGCATGTGAGTGAGCAAGTCAGGACATGCATGTGAGCAACTCGTAACTGTAGAGTCTGCAAGTCATAAGGAAGTCCTAAGGAACATGCAATTTCACACCGACCCATGGTGACTTTTGAGTCGACTCAAAAGAGAATGCAAGTCATAACTGAAGAGTTGTGAGCAAGTCATAAGGGACGTGCAATCCCACACCAACCCATCTCTGCCCTCCCTCTCACATTTCCCTGCCTTGCCCTTTTCTTCTCTCTTTTTCTTCCCTGTTCCCTCCATTCTTCGATCCAGAATCTGACCATCAGCCTCCCACCAGCGTGTGTCAAGGATCGAGCGCTAGAGCAGCATCATCAGGTGCGCTGCTGCTGCCTTTAGAGCAGCATCATCAGGTGCACCATGATGTGCTCTGCTACAATCCACCATGCTAATGCCGTCTCCACTCCACCATGCTACTGCCTTCCACCATGCCATGCCGTCTCCACTCCACTCCACCCCTCTTAACCTTTGCCATAATGTGCATCTCTCCACCTTTCTCACCCTCTTCACTCACGCCAGTGCTTCATGGCCAACCATATTCTGCAATACGTCTCCACGCCTCTCTTCCTCATCAACAGCAACTACGACAAAGTTGCGGTAAGTCGGAATGCCGTGTGACCATGGTAACGATATGACTTCATTGTTTGAGTCGACTCACGAGTCATTTGTCTCCTCCACGCCCCTCTCTTCCTCATCAACAGCAACTATGACAACAAGCATTCCACTCGTTCCGCTTCAGTTTATAATCAAGATTGATAATTGCAGTCATAATCAGCCTTCTGTCTCTCATTTCTTGACCATTTCCGTGCTCTCGCTTGCCCTCCCGTTCGTGACTACCTGCAGATGAGGGACATTGCAGCTCCGCTTGTCTCTCATTCTCTTTCTCTTTCGTGTGCTTCCTTTTGTGACTTGACGTGCAGATGAGGGCCATTACACAACCACAGGTGCTGGATTCGGGATTAACGGCCCCACCTGACTGTTTCGACCATCTCAGCACCTGCACTGCCAAAGAGAAGCATATCTTTGAAGGTGCGTGAGTGTGAGTGAGTGCGTGAGTGTGAGTGGGTGCGTGAGTGTGAGTGAGTGCGTGGGAGTGCGCTCATGGATGCGGGAGAGTGAGATGTCAGCACGTGCTCTGTCGCTGAGAAGCGACTCTTTGAGGGTGCGTGAGTGTGAGTGAGCTCGTTCGTGGATGGGAGAGAGAGTGTAAAGCTTCATATTCTCTTGAAAGGGCTTCTGCTTGTACTTGCACAGCGCTACCCTCCTTGCCTTGAACTCCGTTCCTTACGTTTCCCTACCCTCCTTGTTTTACCTTGCCCTACCCTTCTTGCCTACCTTGCAATCCCCTTCATCCCTACCTCTCTCTCCTCACCCGCCTTGCCTTGCTGTGCCTCACCTCCCTTTCCCCACCTTTCCCCACCTTGCCTCACCTTGCTTCACCGTCCACCACTCCTGGGTTTCAGATTACCGCAAGGCAGTGGCGAACGCAGTGGCGCCTCTCGCCCACTCCACGCCTGCCAACGCCGTCTTCCTCTTCTCCTGCTTCCAGCACGGCTCCATCCACTCGGACGTCCCGTGGATGATGCGCACGGCTAAAGGAGTGGTGAGTTGTGCACTAACAGTGGGTTTCCCTTTCCTTGCACAGTAGCACATGCATCCCCAGACAGCGCGGCTCCATCCACTCAGACGTCCCGTGGATGATGCGCACTGCAAAAGGAGTGGTGAGTTACCAGCTGAATTGTGTGTAAGAGCAGGGGGGTGTGTTAGCTGCAGGGTTTCGTGTAAATGGCCATCCTTCCCTTCGATCATACCACATGAAACATCGACTCTCTTGTTGCAACCCCACACAGCACCACATTCCGAGGGTGTACGACCTTCCCTAAACCGTTCCGTTTGCAAGCATTTCATATCCCCCAGTGCTATCTCTATCCCATCCCCATCTTTTGCAACGTTGCAATCTCTGAGACACCCCCACACAGCACTACAATACGAGTGGTGCATGACCTATCCCTAAACCCCCTCTTTTGTGATGGTATGTGCATATGTATGGGTGTTCGTATGCATGGACGTTCGACCTAATTTGCCCCCCGTCACCCCCTCTTTTTAATTCTTCCGACCCAATCACAGCCAATGTACAAAGCTGTGAGCCGTTGGATGCACCCCGGCAACAGCAAGAAGATTGATCTCATTGAAGGAGCGTACCCGTGCAATTCCTGCATAATGGCGGAGGAGTAAAGTGCACACACATGTATTTTGAGACGCCTGAAAAGGGACACCAGGAAAGGATTTCTCTCATTGAAGGCGGATATCCCTGCAACTCTTGCATCACGACATGACGAAGTGAAGCTATACGTCTTTTGAGATGTCTCAAGAGGGAAAACAGAGACAAGATTCATCTCATTGAATGGAGAAATCCATGAGAGAGAAACATGCCGTGCCGACGCGAGAAGCTGTGGTGTGGATCGCTGGACAAGGGACAGGATTCATCTCATCGAAAAAGCATACCCCATACTAAGTTTTTTCTCTTCGAGTGTACTATAACCTATAACCCTTCTACGGTATTCTCAGCGGCACTGGCAGTGCAAGCTCTGAATAAAGCCCCAAATAATAGAGCTGGTAAGACTCGATATTTGTTATGGCTTGATTCAAATTTGCTCTTTATTGTATCTGATATAGAAGACCCCCTCAAAATACTATAGAAGATAGGATTCATCTTGCTGTACTATAATCTCTTATATTTGCTGATGCACCTTTCGATTATACGCCAATTTCTCTTTTTAATGTTGCTTACATGGAGAATGACAAAAAAAGATGGAGCATGCCAGTACAGCAAGCACAAGAGAACAATAAGAAAATATAACAAATCTGAATCAAACCATGTAGCAAAAAATGGTCCTTGAAGAGAAGAGAATGTCGGGCAGCCGGCCAAAGTTGAGACCAGCCAGACCTCGGATATTTTCTTCCCGCCGTGCGCTCGGGGCGTGCGGCGGTTTTCTACCCGCCACGCGCTCGGGGCGCGTGGCGGTTTCGTCGCCCGTCACGGCACCCCAGGGGCCCGCGCGCCGTTCCCCCTCCCGTCGCCCGTCGCGGCGCCCCGGGGGCCCGCGCGCTGTCCCCTCCCGTCGCCCGTCGCGGCGTCCCGGGGGCCCGCGCGCCGCCCCCCCTCCCGTCGCCCGTCGCGGCGCCCCGGGGGCCCGCGCGCAGCCCTGCCCGTCGCCCGTCGCGGCGCCCTGGGGGCCCGCGCATCGCCCCCCTCCCGTCGCCCGTCGCGGCGCCCCAGGGGCCCGCGCGCCGCCCTGCCCGTCGCCCGTCGCGGCGCCCTGGGGGCCCGCGCGTCGCCCCCTCCCGTCGCCCGTCGCGGCGCCCTGGGGGCCCGCGCGCCGCCCTGCCCGTCGCCCGTCGCCGCGCCCCAGCTGCTGCCCGCGTTTCTGCCCCGTGCCGCCTGCGTTGGGGGTATGGGGGTGGCGGGTATGGGGGTGGCGGGTGTGAGAGCCGTCCCCTGCTCCTCCTCCTCCTCCGTCTCCCACTGCTGCAGCTGCCGCAGAGGGGGGTGGGTGTGTGGGAGCCGAAGGGGTGGTGCTAGGGGGGTGTCGTGGGAGTGAAGCTAGGGGTGCAGCAGCAGGTGTGTGAAAGGGGGGTGGGACAGTTGGGGGAGGTTGAGGGAGGCAGCCGTCGTGTCGTCAGCAGCGCCAGTAGTCCGGGGCTCTGCTCCGGTAGCCCAGCGAGACTGCTGCGCCAGTCGCCCGTGGGTCCGTTGCTCATGCCGCTCGTCTTAGCCGCGGAGCCAGTTACTCCAGTAGTCCGGGGCGTTGCTCCGGTAGCCGCTGTGCCAGCCGCTCCTGTTGCCCGTGTGTCTGCATCTTCAACCGTCGCCTCCTATCTCCTCTCCTCTCACAGTCCCGCCTCCTCCTCCTCACTTGCCCTTTGTGAATGCCTCTAGCTTTGCTTGTGAATGCCTCTTTGACATTGAAGAGAAGAAAATGTCGCACGAGTGGGAAAATGTTCGATCACGTATATTTATTCCTTCATGGCGCACGAATTGCACGAATATCCTCCCTCGATGAGATGAATCTTGTCGCTGTTGTCTGGGTGCATCCAACGGTCCACAGCTTCGTACATCGGCTGCCGTCGGTTACCGTACATTGGAGAGCAGTAAAGAATCAAGGCCAGACTGGTTGAACATCCACACATGCACACCCATGCATGGTGAACGTTTCAGACAAGAACCAACGGAAATATCGTAGATTTACTCGACTTGTAGTGCTGTTTCGGGATGTTTCAAAGATTTCGAAACGTTGTATGTGCTATGATAGGAGGAAAGGGGACCCTGTTGTTGAAATAGCCTTAGTAGGCTATTACTTAGGTTAGGAGAAAGGTGAGCTAGGGAAGTAGCGAGAGAAATCTTGGCCAAGAAAAGGGAGGCTCACTATAGCATGAGATACAAGATATAGCGAAATCATAGCAAGGGTGCACCACCAACAATAGGCAGAATGACTACACTAGTCTACGATCTAACCGGAAGCAGTTATACAACAGATATAAAATATATCTTGACACGCCCCTATAAGTGCTTGCAGGTAGTGTAGCAACGCCCCCTAAAGGGGTACACCATGCAGGGCAAGTGAGGAGGAGGAGGGACCATGAGAGGAGAGGAGGTGGTGGGCGGCGGCTGAAGCTGCTCGCACACGGGCTACTGGAGCAACTGGCACACGGGCAACTTGAGCAACTGGCACACGGGCAACTGAAGTAACTGGCTCTGCGGCTAGACGAGCGGCTGGAGCAACTGACTCACGGGCGAATGGAACAACGGGCTCACGGGCGACTAAAGCAACGGGCACACGGGCGACTGGAGCTACTGGCTTCACGGCGGCCACCCCCCTTCAACCTCCCCCCTTTTCCTCAAACCTCCCCCCACAGCAGCAGAATTGACACAGAGAGACAGGGCAGTCAGGGCAGGCATGGACAGCAGCAGAGAGAGAAAAAAGCGAGAGGGGAGAGAGAGGATGATTAGGGCGGCTGGTGCTGAAACTTCACTCCTGCCACCCACTCACCCCACCCCACCCCCCAGCGGCAGCGAAGGAAAACAAAAAAGAGGAGGAGGCGGCTGATGCAGAATCACTCCCGCCACCCCTTCACACTCCCCCCACACTGGCATCCCTACCGCCACTCCCTCGTCTCCCCCACACCCCTCCCCCCCCCACAGCGGCACGTGCGGCAGTGGGAGAGAGAGGAGGAGGGGCGGCAGCTGGTTACTCACACCCGCCATCCCCAAACCCTTCCCCCCACAACAGCAGACGCGGCACGGAGAGAGAGGAGGGCGGCGGCTGGTGGTGCAGGCGCAGGGAACCATACCGCCACTCCTCCTTCCCCCCACACACCCTCCCCGCCCCCACCAAATGCTGCACGTGCAGCAGGGAGAGGGAGGAGAAGGCGGGCAGAGTAGAGGCTGCACGTGCGGCTGCAGATGCGTGTGCAGTCGCGTGCGTGCGTAGCTGTGCGCGCGTGGCGCGTGGCACGGGGCAGCGGGGCGCGCGTCGCACGGGGCAGGGGCAGCGCGCCGCGCGCAGGGCAGCGCAAATGCGCGGGGCAGCGGTATCGCGCGGCGTGCAGGGCAGCGCGAAGGCGCGGGGCATGGCAGGGTGCGGCGAGCAGGGCAGCGCGACGGCGTGCGGGGCATGGCAGGGCGCAGCGAGCAGGGCAGCGCGACGGGTTCAGCAAAAGCAGCAGAAAACGCGCCAGCCGAAAATTCCGCGCCAGCAGTAGAATAAGCCGCCATGTATGATGGCGGAGTTGGTGGGCCCATGAAAGTAGGTCCTAGGTAGAACCTCACTCTGATAACATGTTGAAATAGCCTTAGGAGGCTATGACTTAGGTTAGGAGAAAGGTGAGCTAGGGAAGTAGCGACATCAATCTTGGCCAAGAAAAGAGAGGCTCACTCTAGCATGAGATACAAGATATAGCGAAAGCATTACAAGGTTGCACCACCAACAATAGGCAGAATGACTACACTACGATCTAACCGCAAGCAGTTATACAACAGATATAACATATATCTTGACACGCCCCTATAAGTGCTTGCAGGTAGTGTAGCAACGCCCCCTAAAGGGGTACACCATGCAGAGTGCAGCGGAAGAAGCAGAGGGCAAGTGAGGAGGAGGAGGGACCATGAGAGGAGAGGAGGTGGTGGGCGGCAGCTGAAGCTGCTCGCACACGGGCTACTGGAGCAACTGGCACACGGGCAACTGAAGTAACTGGCTCTGCGGCTAGATGAGCGGCTGGAGCAACTGACTCACGGGCGACTAGAAAAACGGGCTCACGGGCGACTAGAGCAACGGGCTCACGGGTGACAGGAGCTGCTGGCTTCACGGCGACCACCCCTTTCAACCTCCCCCCTTCACCCCAAACCTCCCCCCACAGCAGCAGAGAGACAGGGCAGTCAGGGCAGGCACGGACAGCAGCAGAGAGAGAAAGAAACGAGAGGGGAGAGAGAGAGGAGGACTAAGGCGGCTGGTGCTGAAACTTCACTCATGCCACCCCCTCACCCCACTCCCCCCCCCCCAAGCAGCAGCGGAAGGAAAACAAATACGAGGAGGCGGCGGCTGATGCAGAATCACTCCCGCCACCCCTTCACACTCCCCCCACACCAGC